AGCACAGAGCCAAAAGCAAGGAGTAGTCTCCCGGGCGCTGGAAGTATTTTGAAATCCCCAAAGTCTCATTCATTGTTCAGAAAACAAAATGGAACTACTTTTTTTTGTTTTGCTCCATCCTCCCCTCCATGCAGTAGCTGTTCTTGGCAGGTGCCCAGAGCGGCACCGGTAATTCCACGGTACATTGTGTACATTTGCATCTGTTTAATCGGCTATTTACAGGCGCCCTTTACCGCCACCTGTAAGAGGCAGCGCCATCATGACACTAAGTGGCTGGGCCGGAAGCCGGGTGCCCAGTGGTTTTCTCCACTTGACGACGCCTGAATCTGTGAAGTGGCTGGCACTTGGAGAAACAGGGAGACAGCTGGGGACATCACACGTAGAGGGCGGGAGGCGCTGGAAGGAGGCGCGCCAGACGGAGGGTCCTTCCTTCCTAGTTAGCTCCACTCGGCGGCTCCTTTTCCACGACCACAGCCGCGAGGAGGGACCTGCCGAGCCTTCGGTGCGGTTTGTTTCCTGCCTGACAAAGAGCCCGCTGCCATTTGGATCTGATGAATTTCTGAATCACCCGAGAGCCTGGCGACCCGAAGGAGGGAGGGGACTGGGGGCGCTGTGGTGGACCCGTCACCCTGCGGAATCCGGGCCAGAGAACAGCTCCCGAGCCTGGGAAATCGTCTTGCGGATGTGATGCGGGACCGCGAGGACACCTGCGCTCCTGTGCGTGCCGCACTCGTGCAGCTCCCGGTGGCGAACGGGGTGAAGCGAGGGCGAGGGTGAGAGGAAGTCCAGGCGCCAGAGCGGCAGAAACGCTTCCTTAGTTTCCCTGCCACTTTGGAGGTTGTGGGGCACGGACAGTGCACGGCGGACTTTCAAGTTGCTCCCGGCACAACCGGAGATCGGGAGCTGGGAGCCCCCATGGGCGGTCCAAGTGTCCGCGAGAAGCCCGCGGCGCCCAGGACCGCGTGGCGCGCTCGGGGCGAGCCAACCCGCACCTAAGCAAACGAGAAACGCTGACCGGCCGGAGGGGGGTTGGCCAGGACGCGGAATACGCGCGGCCTCGGAGCGCCTTTCGTTTTAAGGAGCCTTACTTCAGGAAAGGGACAGGGAACTGTCAATCAGCGAGGGAGGGAGCGCACCGGCGCTGGGTGATGTCAGCGGATCAGCTGCTCGATAACAAAGAGGGGGTATTACAGGAGAAAGTTGCAGCGGCGGCGGCGGCCAAGGCGGCACCCCAGAGCCTCCGAGGCGAGGGGCAAGTGGGCGAAGGGAGGGGGGACGGCTGCTGCCGCAGAAGCTGAAGGCCAAGGAATTGAAAGGGTTGTAGGGGGAGGCAGCGCGAGCCAGCCCCGACTGCTCCTCCTCTTCCTCCTCCTCCAAACTCGCGAGCCCCAGAGCTCGCTCAGCCGCCGGGAGCACCCGGAGGGACGGGAGGCAGCCGCGCAGCCCCGAGCTGGGCAGGTTCCCCAGCCGCCATGGATAGCGACGACGAGATGGTGGAGGAGGCGGTGGAAGGTACAAGCATTTCTCTGGGGCCCGGGGAGGGTGTGCAGAGGGCCCGGAGCGCGGAAGGAGTGGCGGGCAGCGAGCGGCGCGGCGCCGGGCCCCGAGGCCGCCACTGTCCCCTACACGGGTGGCCGGCTGCCCGGCTAGAGCGGGGGCCCGACAGCCACGGTCACGCCGCCGGGAGCGCGCACTGCGCGGCGGGGCGCAGGCCGAGAATGGGGCTCCGCCAGGCTGGGGGCGCTGGAAAGGCACGGCCGCCCCATCCCGCCCGGCCACTGCCTGCATCCGCCCTCGGAGTTGCGAAACCTGCCCTGAGCTCTGGCCTTTCCCCTTTCGGGCGCGGAGGGTGGGTGCAGTCCGCAGGGCAGCCCTTTGAGGCCGGCGGACTCCACGGAGCAATCCCCTAGCCCAGTTCGGCCACCCGGATCCCCTCTCCGGCCGCCAGCCCTTCCCTTCCGCTGCTTCTGCGCCCGCGGCCGCGTCCGGGTAGGTCCCCGGGCGCAGCGCACGGGGCCGGACCAGGCACTTGGCAGCTGCGGCCCAAGACGGTCGCTATTCGGAAAAGATGAAATCATTGCCGGGCGACGGACGAGGCTCCCGACCCGGGACTCGAACGCGCGTCATCCGAGAAGCGGGCGGCCCTCCCCTCCGCTGCCCCCGAGCGAACTCAGTCAGGCCGTTCCCCTCCCCCTTCCGGCATCCAAGCCGGGGTGCCGCCGCCACGCTGTGCAGGCGCGCCGCGAGCCCGCACCGAAATTGCTTGGTGACACTTAACTTTCTGAATTCCATGCCGTGGCTGTGGGTGATATCACCGCCTCGGTGTCGTGTTTCTCCGCCCCTTCTCTTCTAGCGCCCCTCCTCTTCTAGCGCCCCTCCTCTTCTAGCGCCCCTCCCCCGACTTTTCTTGCCACTTTGTTTTGCTGAGTTTCTCCACCTCTTTTTTTTTTTTTTTTTTTTTTTTCTCCCCAGTTCTAAAAAAACGATGTGGGGACGTTATACAATCTCGCTGTTTGTATCATGGGATATTATGATTTTGTAACAGCGAATACTAATACCCTTTGGCGTATTTATCTGGTTCCATTACACATAGTACGTCGTGATGTTTTTCAGTGTGGTGTGGTATGATACCGGAATGTTTTAAACCAAGCATGTATAAGTAAATAATTTTTAGCTGTTGGTTGAATCTGGTTTCTGTCTGATTTGTATAAACACAAGTTCTGACGAAGGGTAAAGAAAAAAAAGTGGGGACACTACAAATGCATAAGGATACATGGTTCTTGTAACATTGGGAAAAAACAGTTTTAATGTTTTCATAAACATAACTCTCTTTACAGTGCTTCTGAGGTCTTAAGGGGAGATTAAGCAGACTAATATTTCTGAACTCTTGAAAAATATCCAATGTAATGTCAATATTAAAACTTATTTCTTCGTCTAACTTCGAAGCCAATTAAAGAATGTGTGGTTTTTGTTAAGAAAATTTTCAGCATGTTGTGAACTCACAGAGCTATTTGTCTCTCTATAAAGCCAATGTTGGGGCTTACTGGGGCCCCGATACATTGATTGAATTGATCCACAGGAAACCTTCTAAGAAGTTAAAAGTTAGTGACTTCTGCCTCCGTGTTGTGAAACAAAAAGGAAAAATGACCTCGGATTGTCAGGGCTTGCTCTCTTTCTTCAACACTGACTTTTACTTGTAAAAATTAAATACAAATCCTTGATAGCTGGTAGTGTTCTCTGTGTTAAACCACATTCATTCCCTTTTGATGCTGTTTACAAACATACATCCAGTTGTCTATGGTCCTCAGGCTCCTTTGCAGACTGTGACTAAGAGCTTTAGAAATGTATCAGTATTGTTTTTTGAGACAGTCCACTGGATTTGAAACAGGGAAGTTTATATAAAGAGGGATGGTTTTGTTTTATACGGTGATCATCTATATTATTGTCCAAAATCAGTACCCCCTTGAGAATGAAAGGGCACACTGTTAATAATGATGCTGGGACAAGTAGCTTAAGGCTTGAGTGTCTGGGACAATCTGGGACACATGGTCACTCAGCTTTAGCTAACTAAACAATTAGAGCAGCACGGAATCTTTAAAAGCCCCTAGAAGCACCTCAGGCTCAAACTTGCACAGTGCTGGGAATGTGTGTGTGCACATGCAGTCAGCTGTACCTGTGTGTGTGCTATTCTCCAGCCATTCTTGGCCTTTTCAGTGCTGTTTGCAATGGTCTTTACATAACATCTAACACTGGCATGGGAGACTGGTATAAACTGCTTCTGCTCTTTCCCAAAGAGAAGCTAGTCTGAATATCTTGGTGTTTAAGTACCAACTAATCTACCTCTTTCCATAAACAGAGCCTCTGTTCTCAGTAGTTTCATTGTCATAGCTATTATTATCATTGCTATAATTGTTTAGTTCTTATTAAGTGCAGGCTCTGTGCTGAGTGTTTCACAGACATTATCCATTCAGTCTTATGCAGTCTGATGAGGTGGGTACTAATATTATCCTAATTTTACAGAGGCGGGAACTGAGGCCTACAGAAGTTAAGAACTAATCCAAGAACACTCAGTGAGGGTGGAGAGACTGGCTTGGGCTTCCAGAGTCCCCTCCACCAGACCAAACTGTCTTCCCACATTTTTTATTTTTAATGAGTTAGTCAAATTTATGAAACACTTGATAACTGAGTTTGGAAGCAACAGTTAAATGTTATGTCAGTGCCATTTTTAATCAGTGTAACTCTGTAGAGGTTGGTTCTGCTAGAGTTCAGTAACTTTCAGAAAAACGTATTTGGGGAAAAAGAATTTAACCTGTGTCTTCTGCAATAGATAATCTTTTTTCTTCTTCGTTAGAGATTTACTCTGGGGAAGAAATGAATCTCTTCAGGACTTGAGTTTAAATGTCTGATATATCATGTACATTTGGTTATCTCTCAGGGTATGATTGTAACTCTGGGGGAGTTCTGAACTCAGGGTGGACAAATCCCTGAGGTGAGGGGAGTGGCTGAGGTATGTCAGGAGAAAGTGTTCTGTGTACTGTGTTGGCTGGGCTCCTGTGGGAATGCAGCAAGCCCTGGGCCTCAGAGGGCCTCAGAGCTCCACCTGAGCTCTGGGGTGGCTTTTGGAAAATACTTTAAGACACACTGGTTCAGTGGAGAGTGATGTTTAGTTTTCCAGTGTTATTCCTCTGGGCTTCTGGAAAAATAAGTTTATTACAGCTTCTGTTTCTTTGTCTACCCATGGATACAAAGATGAATATGATGTGGTCTCTAATATAATTTCAAATAAATATATTTATACAGATGAATTGTGATGGTTGAAAGGAACTAAAAATTACTTCCAGCTTAGGAAAGTCAAAGGGGAAAGATTTTTCCAGAAGGGGTGCCATAGAGCTGAGTCAGGTTGAGAGGGGAACTTTGAGTGAAGACACGGAGGCATGGAATTCTGCAGGTGCAGAAAACAGTCATTTGCTTTTGCTGCAACATAGAGCTTACAAGGAGAAAAGTGGAGGGCGAGACAGGGAAGGGAGGCTGGGTGGCAGGCTGAGAGCATGAACTGTGTGCTGGAAGCCATGGAAGCCGTGGGAGCTCTTTAGAGAAGGGAATGACAGGATCAGAGCTCTGCTCTGGGAAGAAGAACATGCAGTGGCCAGCAGGATAGTCAGAGGGGCTGACGCAGCAGGTGAGGTACCTTAAGGTCTCTTTGCAGTAGTTCAGATGTGCAGTTGTGAGGGCAGGAAAAACAGAAGGACCTGGAAATGTGTAGGAGACATGGAGGAAGAATGTTCAAAAAGGAGAAATATCGGAACAGGGGGCCAGAATGAAAATAAGCAGCTCAGTGTGCCACTGCCACAACCCCCTCAAAATATTAAGAATATTTTTTAACACTCTCCCGAATATCAGATTCTGCCTGTCTCTAATAAGATTGCTCATGTCCTGTATCTAGGAAAAATGCATACAAAGTGTATTGTTAGCACCCTTTCTGTGTGGGCCACACATTAAAATTATGACCCTCACAACTAATAGTTGAGTCCTTGCAAACAATTACCCTTAAAAATAAAAGTATCCAGGTAACAAACTTGCAAGTGTACCCCTGAATCTAAAATAAAAGTTGAAATAATTTTTTGAAAACCTAAAACAAATTAAAAAATTTTAAGAAGACCAAAACATCAAGCTATGTATTTAACAGTCAGTGATTAATGCATCACCAGGAGGGCACGTTTGCATTAAACAGAATAAGCTTGCCTTTTATCATTACTGGATTTTTGTTTTTCCATTTGTTTATTTATTTTCTTTTTTTATGAGATGAGGTCTCACTGTGTTGCCCAGGCTGATTTCCTGGGCTCAAGAGATCCACCTACCTTGGCCTCCCAAAGTGCTGGGATTACAGGCATGAGCCACCACACCCAGCCTATTACTGTTGTTTTTTAAAGCAATGTTCTAGTCTACAAGACCAACAGTATGTGTGTAAGGGTCTCTGGTTGTAAGGGAAATACTTGGACGCCACTCTCAGATCTCTTGTGAGCAAGCCTGAGGTGTTTAGCAGCTGGGTGTCTAATCCAGAGGGCATTTACTTTGCTGAGACTGAGATGTACATTGCTGCTTAGAATATCGGCCTGGCTCTTAGATTCAGGAAGAAGCTCCTTCAGAAGTAACTGGAGGGGAAAATTTTAACTTTGTATCTGTTCAGTAGATGATAATCTTAGAACAAAGTGACAAAGTAGACTTGTGAACTGATACTTTTTTTCCTGTAACTTCTGTAAGTATTTAAAATCATGCTACAGACAGATACACAGAACATTAGTTCGGGGAAGCTTGTAAACACAGAGCAGTCATTCAAGTTAATTTTCCCTGTTGCTTGGGCCTGGTATTCACCCTCTGTTTAGCGGGAACTTGCCTGGAAGGCTGTTGGCTGACTTGGCGAATTTTACAAATTGACCTCAAGTAGAGCAAGGAGGTCTAGTGTTTCCCTTCAAGTTAGGTAACACTTGGAAGAGATAGGACTTTGCAACCAGGATATGCTGTTGGAAATCTGATGCTTCTATGTGAATGACCTTAACCAGAAAGCCTTCCACTTCCCTGCCAGCGACCTGGGAGTTCTTGCCTTTTTAGAGGTACCTTCTTACCATCAGCAAGGAAGAGTGAGTTTGCCAGTGTCTAGAGTGGGAATTAAAGGATTTGGAGAAGGAGCTTTCAGTATTCATCAGCACACTCAGAGTGGTAATGTCTTTCGGGCAAGTCTTATAAAGCACTGGTGTCCTCATCTGTAAGATGAGAATATGGGAGACTGTTTTGAGCCTTAAATTTGATAACAGGAAAGCATATAACCTAATGCCAGGTCATAGTAGGTTCATACACCTTTTTTTCGCCGCTGTGCTGTTTTTCAGTACACCTGTGCATTAAATTGACTTACTCACATGACAAAGTATTACATGATGTTATTGTCCAAAGAGTACATGATCTTATCGGCGTTTGAAAAAAGAGTTATGTCAGACCCTAACACTAATGTTGAAACAGGATGTGAGTGCTCTGCAACCTGTCTCTTTCTTTCTTATGGAAAATCTCTGCTATTGTTTTGGTTGTAGCTGCTGTTTTAGATATAAAGTTCTACTACGAGGGAAACTACTCCGGGATATTGAACATTCAGAGTGGAAGTCTCAAATGATCACAACCCTTAATCGTTAGTTCTTTTAATTATAACACTAGAAGGATGTAAAGAAAACAAAATGAGCCAGGAAGGGGCCCCTGCTGTGGTCTGATAGATTTCAGAACTCTCTCAAAACCAGCAACCTAAAAGCCTTTAGAATGACAAGAAGGGGTCACATGTCCAAGCACCTCCTTAATGTGCAAGGTCACCTGAGTAATGGCCATCATTTGGTAGCTCTCCCCCGTCCCTGTTTCTCCCAAGAGCTTAAGAGGGTAATAGGGCTCTTCATTATCTGCCTGTTGAAAGGCATTGAGGCCAGGTGTGGTGGCTCATGCCTGTAATTCCAGCACCCAAAGTGGGTGGATGGCTTAAGCCCTGGAGCTTGAGACCAGCCTGGGCAACACAGTGAGACCCTGTCTCTACAAATTTTTTTTTTTTTTTAGCTAGTTGTGGTCGTATGACCTCTAGTCCCAGCTACATGGGAGGGTGAGGCAGAAGGATCACTTGAGCCCACGAATTTGAGGTTACAATGAGCTTTGGTCTTATCACTGCACTCCAGCCTGAGTAAAAGTGAGACCCTGTCTCTGCAAAAGAAAGGAAGGAGGAAGAGAAGGAGGGAAGGAGGGAGTGAGGTAAGGAAGGAAAAAAAGGAAGGAGGGAGAAAGGGAGGGAGGGAGGAAGGAAAGGAGGAAGGAAGGAAGGAAGGAAGGAAAGGAAGGAAGGAAGGAAGGAAGGAAGGAAGGATCAATCCTTCATGGAATACAGTTGACAACTGGGATCAGTACTATCCTCCAAGGGCTTATAGTATGTTATATGACACTTTCAATTTTCCCTCATATCTAAATTCCATTGCTGAGGGTGCACTGTCAGTGTTTTATTCAGAAATAGGACAGGGTTGAAGAAAGGTGAAAGTTAATTTATATTGGAAAATTGTTTTCCCTAGTGTTCAGATTTATGGTAATTTCTCTCAGTCTAAAGTGGAATAACAAATTTTATCAAACACAAGCTTTTAAAACTCTGAAATATGTGAACTGTTTTCTATGATGAAAGCATTTTCAGCAAGTTAGTAAATACTCTAGTTTGAGGCTAAACTGATTATTTGGTTATTAATACCCAAATCAAAAAAGTAGGACACTGAATTTATATGCCTAAATTTAACTTGATCACAACAACATTTCACTAAAAAAAAAAGCTCTTAGCAATACACTGAGTGGCTTTTATTTAATGAAAAGAAAAAAAGCAAATTTATTTCAATGAGAGAAATGGTATCAGATATTTAGAAAATAAGTGATTTCATATAACTCAGATGTCATTGCATTATGTCATGTTCAGTTAGTTTTTGGGCAAGAGGAAAACAATTACGGCCTCATTCCCTTCTGACCATTAATTTCCTGGTCCTTTCCTCTTTTGTGTTAAGAGAAAGGAATCCATATTGATTATGATTTTTTTTTTTTTTTTGAGACGGAGTTTCACTCATGTTACCCAGGCTGGAGTGCAATCGCGCGATCTCCACTCACCGCAACCTCTGCTTCCTGGGTTCAGGCAATTCTCCTGCCTCAGCCTCCTGGGTAGCTTGGATTACAGGCACGCACCACCATGCCCAGCTAATTTTTTGTATTTTTAGTAGAGACGGGGTTTCACCATGTTGACCAGGATGGTCTCGATCTCTTGACCTCGTGATCCACCCGCCTCGGCCTCCCAAAGTGCTGGGATTACAGGCTTAAGCCACCGCGCCCGGCCTGATTATGATTTATTTATTTAAGTAGATGTGTTTTATTGTAAGATGTTCTAGGTAACCCATTGAATACAGAGTCAGATGTAGCAATAAAACACTGTATTTGTTTACAGTTATTTTATGTTTATGTAAATATAAATGCAAATAAAGAGCATTTTTTTTTTTTTGAGATGCAGTTTTGCTCTTGTTGCCCACACTGGAGTGCAGTGGTGCAATCTCGGCTCACCGCCACAACCTCTGTCTCCCAGGTTCAAGAGATTCTCCTGCCTCAGCCTCCTGAGTAGCTGGGATTAAAGGTGCCCACCACCATGCCCGGCTATTTTTTTTTTTTTTTTTTTGTATTTTTAGTAAAGATGGGGTTTCACTGTGTTGGCGAGGCTGGTCTCAAACTCCTGACCTCAGGTGATCCGCCTCCTTTAGCCTCCCAAAGCGGTGGGATTACAGGTGTGAACCACTGCACCCGCCCGCATATCTATTCTTTATAAGAGTGTGTATTTACCATGTCTTCCAAGGACTAATATTATTTTATCATGTTAGAATAAATTATTTTAGGAGACTGAAGCTTTCATTGTGGTAGTATGGTTTGTGTTTCCTTTTATGTCTGTGAGCCTTCTGGAAGCTACATTTCAATGTTTAATGTCCCTGCATTAGACACAGTGTTTAATATTTTCATACCTTTTTTATCCATGACCCAGGTTGTTACCTCAGGGAAAATGCCAGTAGAATAACTACTGCCTTCATTTGACCATTCTGGTGAGCTTTGCAAAATCAGCTCACCAGAATGATTGGGAAGATACCAATAAGGTGATTCCTGGGTTTTGTAAAACATGTAGATAGTAATAAAAAGCCTAAACATTGGCTTTAAATATCAACATTAGACTATACCAGCATTTGACCTCGGAAGAACCAGTGACTTAAAGGTCCATGTAATAACTTCTGCTGATGTTCTCTTTACCTCTGGCTCCAGATAAAATACAAGCCCTTGACACACAATGGCAGAGGGTAGATGATAAGCTTATTTCTAAACATTCACAGCTGAAAGATTTTGTAAGTAAAGCAATAGGTTTAAGGTTAAACTTCAGTTTAAGGGGAGAAGGACTCTGGGTTTCTGTGTTTGTACAATGAGATGTATAAATCTTAGGGTTGTTTTAAAGACATGGCTATGTCCCTCATGCAAATATAACAATCACAGCGAGATTTTCAGACTGGCTAGCAGTCCTCCACATCATATTACAGAATGATGTATAAAATCATATTGCATGCTTAATATTCTAGAATTAGATAATTTATTGCAAAGACCATGTATGTGGCAATTGACTATGGAACAGTGGAATCTCAACTACACTTCAGTTAAGCATGAGAGACCGGAGGCATCAATTCCGGATATGAGAAGGACTATAAGGGGAGCACTTGGTAGATTGTGACATGCCCTGCAGAGGATATGACTGATAGTGAGTCTCAGTTCCAGGTAAAAAGCAAGCTTATGTAAAATTCACATTCTGGAATGTGTCTAAGAATGTGTTCTGGACCTGTCAGTTCACAAAGTGTATGTAAAATCAATTTGGTACTGCTGGCGCCAATGAGGTGAGAAACCTTTGCATGCTGACTATCCCTTCATGCCAGGGAGGGGACTCTTTGGCAGCTGGAGGGGAGTTGAGGGGGGACTTGTCTGGCAGCATCTGAGTGCTTAGGCATCAGATGGGAGGAGCACTGAAGATGTTAAGGTTTGCCTTGTGGTTCCCTTTCTGCAGGGCACCTGGATGATGACGGATTACCACACGGGTTCTGCACAGTCACCTACTCCTCCACAGACAGATTTGAGGGGAACTTTGTTCATGGAGAAAAGAACGGACGGGGAAAGTTCTTCTTCTTTGATGGCAGGTAGCACTCACAGTTTTATTTTGTTCTTTGGGGGTACTGAATTATTTTATGTAAAGGATAATACAAATGAAAGAACTCAAGTGGAAGTTTTTCTACAGTTTATACAATGGGTATAATTAACCCCTACCTGTAGTCACTGCTTTGGTGACTGGGGAAGTCACCCTGTGGTTATGGGGAAGCCAGCCTAAGGCTTAGATCTTATCATCACTGTCTCCCAGAGTGTGCTTGGCCAAAAGATACTAGATTCGGGGTCCCCCATCTTGCATAAGTTGGTTACATGGTCACCCAGTTCTTTAAGGGATTTCACTTGATCATTCCGGTATAGTTTCTCACTAAAGTCACACAAGTGGGGATAGTTTTTGTCAGTGGCCAGTTTGCACAGTTCCGGTAGAGTCAGGTCCATGCCTTTTTCCAAGGGTCACACACACTCCATTGCGTTCAGCATCCTTTCCCAGTTGTCACTGTCTGGCTTCTTAGCACCCTCAAGGAAGATTCTGCCACCTTGTTGGTTTTTCTGCTTCATCGGTTTCTCAGCCTATTGCCTCTCCTCATGAGACTTATGAAAAAATACTTGGCAAAGTTCTTCAAAGCCACATTATTGCAGTCTCAGTAATAAGACATAAACAGGTACACGCAGGAGGAGACTTCAGTTTTTCACATGCCTGTCTTTGAGATAATTGGTCTTTTTGTGTGATAATTTAACACTAATGTCAGAACTATGATTTTCCACAGTCTACCTCTAGTTAAAGTATTTTTCACATCAGGATTTCTTTTTTTTTTTTTTAAGACAGAATTTCACTCTTGTTGCCCAGGCTGGAGTGTAGTGGCGCTATCTCGGCTCACTGCAGCCTCCAACTTCAGGGTTCAAGCAATTCTCCTGCCTCAGCTGGGATTATAGGCATAAGCCACCACACCTGGCTAATTTTGTATTTTTAGTAGAGATGGGGTTTCTCCATGTTGGTCAGGTTAGTCTTGAACTCCTGATCTCAGATGATCCGCCTGCCTCAGCCTCCCAAAGTGCTGGGATTACAGGTGTGAGCCACCGCGCCTGGCCAGGATTTCTTTTATTTTACTCTCATCCCCATCTGAGGACGCTGAGAGGCAGAGGCTCCTTACCTGCTTGTGATAGATAGGAATGACTGTAGGACATTTTTCTTTCAAGGAGAGATGGGGTTGCCCTGGCCCAGCTTGCCAACAGTGACTTTTAAGCCCTGTCAGCTTCAGGAACAAAGAGTGACCACGTGAATTTCTCAAGCGTTCAGTGGAATTCAGAGCCACAAAAGGGCCAGCTATTTTCAGACCTGTTGATCAGGTAAAACAAAAACGGACTTTACCAAAGCAGGCTAGAGATTCTGTGGGATATACACACCACTTACTAAACTCCAGACATTGGTAATAGGCCAAAGGTTCCTTTGGGAAAGAAACTGTCTAAGCTGACAACTAAAGGGTGATCACAGGGACGGGTTTGTGACCTAGAATCTCTTTTCTGTAGGCGAAGTGGGTTGTTTTAAAGGGGGTAACATTTCTCAGGCTCTCAGTGATCTGATACAATGAAGGGTGAGAAAAGCAATAAAACCCACTAAATAACTTTTGTAAAACTGCATTTGAATTATGATTCCAGCCTTCTTTTTCCCATTACCCCTAACTCCACCTTTTTGTAAAGCAGAGTTTTGCTTACAAACTGTAAATTTTAAATTGTCAGATATTTTACTTCCTTTCTTTTGCCTGGGTGGATACTTGAGAGCCATAGAGGCCCCTTTCAATATGTTGGTATTGGCCTGGGCATGTTGGCTCACGTCTGTAATCCCAGCACTTCGGCAGGCTGAGGTAGGAGGATTGCTTGAGCCCGGGAGTTTGAGAACTGGCCAAGGCAACATAGTGAGACCCTGTCTCTACCACCAGATGTAGAGACACTGGGACCTGTGGTCGCAGCTGCTGGGGAGGCTGAGGCGGGATGATCGCTTGAGCACACCAGCCTGGATTACAGAGCAAGACACTGTTTCCAAAAAAAAAAAAATGTTGTTATCAGTGCTTTCCTCTCCTATGACTCCTTTAACCTATCCAGAGGAAAACTCTCCCTGCCCCATTTCCACTGCAATTTTTATAGCTCTTTTTTTCTGAAAAGTGTCACTTTTAACCTGATTCTGCAAATTTTTTAAAATTCATTCAACAGGTACATATTTATGTTAATGTCTCCTTCATCTTCAAGGGCAGAGGTTTCCTTGAGGGCAAATTCTGTGTCTGTTACATCTTTTATGCTTCACAGCACTTTGTCTTAATTTGATGCTAAAAAGAAGTCCTTGCTAAAGGAGAGTGGGAGCTGAAAGGGAGGGTAGAATTCACCCAAAACACCCCCCCCCCCCCACACACACACACACACACACACACACTTTGAATCTGGTATTTTGATGACAATAGCCAGTAACTGATGGACTCTTTGGGAAAACAGTCCAGCAGATTTGTTTGAATTTGGTGTTGGTTACCTGCTTGCTTCATGGGGCTGATACACAGAGTACTGATGAGCTAGACTAAGCCTCTGAACTAGTGTGCCGAGAATGTTAGCTCCAAGATGCTGATCCCCTCAGCCCTAGGGTAAGATAGCCAAGTGGAGCCTGAGACTTCCTGAGCACCTGTCTTCACATGTCCAGCTAGTCACTTCTAGCCCCAAAGAGCTTCATCTGCTTACCCCAGTGTGTCATACAAAGGCATTAATTTGCAGGTGTGTCATGACATGAACAAACTGAACCACCAGGCCAAGTTGAAGCACTAGCCCGGTAACTATCTATAGGCTAGAAATACATTCATTGATTTTTTTTTCCTTTTGAGGCACTAATTCACTAATTTTCTTTTAATTTTTTTAAGATGGGGTCTCACTCCATTGCCCAGGCTGGAGTGTAGTGCCGTGATCATGGCTCACTGCAGCCTCAACCTCCCTGGGCTCCGGTGGTCCTCCTACCTCAGCTTCCTGAGTAGCTGTGACTACAGGTGCATGCCACCATGCCAGGCTAATTTGTTTTGTATTTTTTGTAGAGATGGGGTTTTGCCATGTTGCCCAGGCTGATCTCAAACTCCTGAACTCAAGCGATCCACCCTCCTCAGCCTCCCAAGTGCTGGAGTTACAGGTGTAAGCTATTGTGCCCAGTCTAATCAATTCATTGATTTTTATATCTACCACTCAAACACCTGTGGAGATGTTGATTAAATAGTAGAATCAAGGAATGATAGTGTTAGCAAGGACCTCGAGAGACTATCTTGGTTATCTTCATATAGATGGGAGTTAATACCTTGGGGGAAAATTTCAGTATCATTGGTTTTATTACACATGATAGAGCAGTGTGGTGACAGGATCTCAAAAGGTCATCATCATCTTTCTTAAACCCAAATACTGATCATGTTACAAGACATCTGCTAAAAGGATTTGCTGTAAAAATTAGGGAGATAGTCTTGTAACTGATAAAAAGGCCAAGAATAACTTATAACTAAAAAAAAGGGCCAGGAATCTACCAGGGCTTTCTAAGGGAGATGTGGGATTTGATTATGGAGAAGGCAGTTGTTTCTACGCGAGCAGATTTTTTTGTTTGTTTTTTGTTTTTTGTTTTCCATTTATTTATTTTATTGCATTTTAGGTTTTGGGGTACATGTGAAGAACATACAAGATTGTTGCATAGGTACACATGTGGCAGTGTGATTTGCTGCCTTCCGCCCCATCACCTACATCTGGCATCTCTCCCCTTGCTATCTCTCCCCAACTCCCCACCCCCCACCATCCCTCCCCTATTTCCCCCAACTGACCCCAGTGTGTAGTACTCCCCTCCCTGTGTCCATGTGTTCTCATTGTTCAACACCCGCCTATGAGTGAGAACATGCGGTGTTTGATCTGCTCTTCTGTCAGTTTGCTGAGAATGATGGTTTCCAGGTTCATCCATGTCCCTACAAAGGACACAAACTCATCGTTTTTGATGGCTGCATAATATTCCATGGTTTATATGTGCCACATTTTCCCTATACAGTCTATCGTCGATGGGCATTTGGGTTGATTCCAGGTCTTTGCTATTGTAAACAGTGCTGCAATGAACATTCGTGTGCACGTGTCCTTATAGTAGAACGATTTGTAATCCTTTGGATATATACCCAGTAATGGGATTGCTGGGTCAAATGGAATTTCTATATCTAGGTCCTTGAGGAATGGCCACACTGTCTTCCACAATGGTTGAACTAATTTACACTCCCACCAACAGTGTAAAAGTGTTCCTATTCCTCCACATCCTCTCCAGCATCTGTTGTCTCCAGATTTTTTAATGATCACCATTCTAACTGGCATGAGATGGTATCTCAATGTAGTTTTGATTTGCATTTCTCTGATGACCAGTGATGATGAGCATTTTTTCATATGTTTGTTGGCCTCATGTATGCCTTCTTTTTTAAAGTATCTGTTCATATCCTTTGCCCACTTTTGAATGGGCTTGTTTGTTTTTTTCTTGTAAATCTGTTTTAGTTCTTTGTAAATTCTGGAAACCAGCCCTTTGTCAGATGGGTAAACTGCAAAAATTTTTTCCCATTCTGTTGGTTGCCGATTCACTCTAATGACTGTTTCTTTTGCCGTGCAGAAGCTGTGGAGTTTGATTAGGTTCCATTTGTCTATTTTGGCTTTTGTTGTCAATGCTTTTTGGTGTTTTGGTCATGAAGTCCTTGCTTACACCTATGTCCTGAATGGTTTTGCCTAGATTTTCTTCTAGGGTTTTTATGGTGTTAGGTCTTAAGTTTAAGTCTTTAATCCATCTGGAGTTAATTTTAGTGTAAGGTGTCAGGAAGAGGTCCAGTTTCTGCTTTCTGCACATGGCTAGCCAGTTTTCCCAACACTATTAAACAGGGAATCCTTTCCCCATTGCTTGTCTTTGTCTGGTTTGTCAAAGATCAGATGACTGTAGATATGTTGTGTTGCCTCCGAGACCTCTGTTCTGTTCCATTGGTCTATATCTCTGTTTTGGTACCAGTACCATGCTGTTTTGATTAAAAATATGGAACGCTTCACGAATTGGCGTGTCATCCTTGTGCAGGGGCCATGCTAATCTTCTCCGTATCATTCCAATTTTAGCATATGTGCTGCCGAAGCGAGCTCGCGAAGCAGTTTTTATTTGTATTTGTCTACTGGTTTTTCTCCCTGTTCCCACCCCAGGTTTTTAGAGTGTGATGTATTAGGTAAAATTAAGTGGGAACCCTTTGACTTTACAGTCACCAACCTTTGGTCTGCAAAAATTCCTTAAAAACGGCTGACATTAGGTTTTGAAATAACAAGCAAGGAGAGACACAAACTTGTTATTGAAGAAAGTTGCTGAAACCTGTTATGCTGGTTTATGTCCCCATCAAAGAGTTCATCTGCAGTTGCAGAAACCCATGTTTGGAAAGAGACAAGGAAAATCACAGTGTAGTAACAGAAGACTTGGCCCAGCGTTTTCTAATCTTATATGAAAACTGAGCCCCAGTATATGATTTATGAGAAGTATCCAAACAAGTATAAACGTATTAAGAAAACTCTAAAATCAGTTTTTCCCTGGACAGCGAATGAGATAAATCTGAATAAAAATTTCAAATATCCAGATAACCAGGAAAAATGGCCCTGTGAAATTTTAAAACCAAATTCGTAAATAGAAGCAAAATATTTTATTTTATTTTTTAAATTGCGAGCATAACAAATGCTTAGTGGAATTTTAAAAATTCAAGAAATACCGAAATGCAAAAACTGGAAGTGCTCCCCCACTCTTTTTTTAAACCCCAACCCATGCCATAGAAGTAATTACTGTTGGCAGAGAATGTGTGCATCTTAACTAAGTATATTCAAGGTAAAATACAGAAATGGGTATTTTTAAAAAGTTTTAATTTAATTGACACATAATAATTGTACATTTTTCTGGGGTAAAGTGTGATGTTTTGATACATAAATACATTCGTTATGTAATGATAAATCAGGGTAATTAGCATATCCATCACCTCAAAGATTAATCATTTCTTTGTGATGAGAACATTCAAAATCCCCTCTTCTAGCTATTTTGAAGTATACAATACATTGTTGTTGACTATAGTCACCCTATTATGTAATAGAACACCAGAACTTATTCCTGCTATCTAACTGTAACTTTGTACCTGTTGTCCAACCTCTCCCCATCCTTCCCTCCTGCCTTCTTTTCCCCCAGCCTCTGTTAACCACTGTTCTATTCTCTACTTCTGTAAGATCAACTTTTTCAGATTCCCCACATACAAGTGAGATCATGCAGTGTTTGTCCTTTTGTGCTTGGCTTATTTGACTTTACACGATGTTCTCTAGGATCATTCATATTGTCACAAATGACAGGATTTGATTTTGTTTTTATGCTGAATCGTATACCATTGTGTTTGTATATGCCACATTTTCTTTATCCATTCATCCGTTAATGGAAACCTGGGTGGAGTTCATATCTTGGCTATTGTGAATAGTGCTGCAGTAAACATGGGAGTGCAGATACCTCTTCAACATACGGAAGAAATAGCTATTTCTAAATCAGTGTAAATAGCCAAAATGTACATTGTTTACCTGTTCACAACTGTCTCAGATTCAGAATGTTGGCTAGTTTTGAGATCGTAATAGAGACTTAAGTCATTTCTTCATTATATGACAAAATGCGGAACAGAAAATCTAGGTTACTACAACCAGCTTATTAAATCAGAAACCTAAAGTCAGAATTCTCATGCTTTACCAGATGGTTTACCCTACAAATGAGGAATGAATGAGAATATAACCTTGTTTTAAAATATTGTTCTTTAAGCAGTTATTGTGTCCATTCCCCGCCTCCTCTATTAAAAGGGAAGAAGAAAATTATCCTGAGCTTCAGTAACTGGGACTGCTTAACGTCCACTCTGGGCCCGAGATAAAGGAATTTATGCAGCATCGG